ACCTTACTCCCTATGCCTCTCCTCCAGCCACCCTGCTGGCCACTCGCTGTGCCTCTTCAGCCATTCATTCACCACCTGCCTTTCTGCTGTGAGCTGTGTACATCAGTCTCTTAATGATTTTCAGCTCTTTTCAGGCTGGGCAGAAACACTGCCCCATCTCAAGTGATTTCAGCTGTGACTGAGCATTTAAAATAACAAAAGAGACTCCTAATTAAGCCTAGTTAGCTCTTTCTTTGAAGAGTGAGGAGGAACAGGTTAAACCAGACCAGGGTATTGGTCCTGCTTCGAGCAGGGGATTAAACTAGATCACCTCCTGAGGTCTCTTCCAACCCTAATATTCTATGATTCCAGGGGGAACCCTTGGGGCGGGTTTGCAATCCTCATAACTAAGACACCTGTCCCCACCCCTCTTACCTTTACAGGGCTCTGGCATTCATGCCCCTGGCTAAATGAGGTCCTTTCAGCAAAGGGTGGCCCCCTTATTTGGGACAAGGTTAGCACAGTCCTGCTTCCCTGTATTCCTATAATAATTACAACATTGGCATTACAACATACAGCATTTCACTACCCCTGCATTTAGTACTAAAGTGATTTGTAACCCAACACAAGCCAAAGTTGATTACTTTGAGCAAAACACTGCTCTATCTCTCCCCGACCCAGCTAGCTGTCAGGGAAGCATTCATTCAGTTCATTTATGACAGGTTTCAGAGTAACAGCCGTGTTAGTTTGTATTCGCAAAAAGAAAAGGAGTACTTGTGGCACCTTAGAGACTAACCAATTTATTTAAATTTATTATTTAAATTGGTTAGTCTCTAAGGTGCCACAAGTACTCCTTTTCAGTTCATTTAGACTCTTACATAAGTAATTGCTATTCAGGAACATTCACATGAGCAGCTTTTGTTCATATGAATGTCTGTTCTTCATACAAATGTACACATTCACATGTGTGTCCAAGACTGTCCTCTTTTCATTATTCATTATTCACTGTTTGTTATTCAAAGTTGTTACTTTTTATTCCTTTTTTAAAGTTGCAGACAACCAATTAGGAAGCTGAAATTATGCCATGTGACAGCGGACCAGTCTCACATGACAAGGAATGGATAGTTGAAATGAAGGGTTTGCAAGCAAGCCATAGCCTGGGACATGTTAATTCCATCTCTTTGGGTCGTATTTGTGAATAACTAAGATATTTGCAGAAATCAGAATTAGTTCACACAAAATTCTCAAACACACAGAAAAAGTGTTAAATTCATCAGGTAATTTATTTACAGTGGATGATTTTTCCAGCTGTAGTCTCTTTGACATCAGACTGTTTTATTAAGATGTATCTGTGTTTGAATTTTATGGAACCTTTACCAAATGAGTAGCCATTTTTCAGAAACTTGAAAATTTCTGTGCACTAGAAACAAAATTTCAGACTGCTTTTTCCAATTTTGCACTGGATTAGTTTGTCTTCATTGTTTTCATTGGTCTGCAGTCAGCAGGACAAATAGATAAAGCTCCTGGGCTTCCCCCCACCCCTACACACACACACACACACATTCACCAGGCAGTGCAGTCAATTGTAATGGTGTTATTGGTATAGGCCAGTAGCAGATTTCTTATCTCTCCCTGTCTACTCCCAGAGCAAGGGGAAAGCAAAGAAGGAACTGTGCTTCAGAGCAGGGGTTTTCAAACTGTGGGTTGCGATCCAGTACTGGGTTGTGGAATGGAAGGCACTGGGTCACGGCTGCCCAATCCCCTGCCCCAGCCCTGAGTACTCCCAAATCTGGAGCCCCTTCCTGTACCCCAACCCCCTCATCCCCGGCCCCACCCCAGTGCCTGCAGCCCCAGTTCAGAGCCCTGACCCCCTCCCACACCCCAACACTCTGCCCAGAGCCCCCTCCCACAGCCTGAACCCCTCATTCCCAGCCCTGAGCCCCTCCCACACCCCAAACCCCTCATCCCCAGCTCCACTGGGTTCCGAGCATCAACAATTTTCTTCAACTGGGTTGCCAGAAAAAAAGTTTGAAAACCACTGCCTCAGAGGGAATGATTTGAGTCACAATGCCTCCTGGATACCCCTGTCATGGTTCCTGTACCATTACTTAGAAATGTGTGAACTGCTCTCTGACAACCTGCAGAACTCACCTCTGTGGCTGTAAATTTGACCTGGCTTGCATATCTGGGCCTTCACAGTCATGTCGATTCTCAGTTCATCACAAATGATATGCAGAACCATAAAATCATTATCTGTAAGCTTGTAAATCTGCAGGGTTTGGCAACTGAACTTGTTCATTTCCCTACCTCACCCTTCTGAGAGCCCTGGGCGAGAGCCAGGCACAATCTGGTCTGTAATTTTTTAGTTACTAACATGTTCAGTTGCCAATCCTATGGACTGAAGTTTACAGATAAGAACATTATGGTCCCATGTGTCAAATGCCATTGAATGAGATACAGCATTTCAAGCATTGTGGAGAGGCAGGAAAAAAGTGAGGTCAAAGTCCTACTCTCCCTCATAAAGTTCTATGGTAGGGCCCATGTATTAGCAATCAAACTGGGATAAGATTATGATATGGATACTCATACCAGAGCCTACTGTGGCAACACCCACTATTAGCTATGCTTGCTCCTTCCAGAGGGGATATAATTATTTATAGTGGGGTGCCAATCATGTTGCTCCAGAGTTAAGGTTGCACAACGATTTCCATTTTAGTCCTGTCGTTAGTTGCTTGCATCTTTCTGAAACGTTCCCTTTTGGAAGCTGACATTTCCCATAGTTAGTTTGTGCACAAACATGGTTTGGGAAGGAGAGGGTGGGAGTGGAAATTTGATCTGAAAAACAAGTTAGCCATTTTTGAATGGGGGGGGGGAGAAAGAGAAGAGAGAGAAAGAAAGAAAGAAAGGAAACACTTTTTCAGCAACAGCAAATTTCTTACAGCCTTTTAAAAACAATCCTAATACCACAGTGGCTGAGATCTGCAAGCTGACATCTGGCTTGTTCCAAAGGAAACTGGTCTTGATTTGACCTAGTTAGGCACATTTGAAAACCACATACTGAGCACACACAGATTTTTCACTCAGCTCATCAGTCCCTTCCTCCATAGACGTGGAGACTCCCTGGGCAGAGGGGCCAGTGTGGTTCTGGGGTGCTCTACTGAGGCCCCTTAAATGTCATTGTGTGCGAGGGGTATGTGTGTGTGGGGGATATGGGTGGGCCAGGAGACAGAGCCAAAAATTCACTGTTGCCACAAAAGGGGGCAGCAGAGTCTACTCCAGCCTTTGGGTTAGCTGAAGCCCCCGTAGGGTATGTTTACATAGCATTATGGAGCAAGCCACCCAACCTCGTCAAGAGTCTCGGACTAGTGGGGCTCATGCTCACGCTCTAAAAATTGCTGTACAGACAGTGCTTTGAAGTGGCAGCTTGGACTGGAACTCGGGATCTTCAGCCTAGGTAGAGGGGCGAGCTTCGGATCCCTGAGCTGCAATTTCAAAGTGCTCCCTATACCGCTGTTTCAGAGCGCTATTGCAAGGCCTGCTAGCTCGAGTCAGCTGATGCAGGCAGGGAGGCTTGCTCCAAAATGCTGAGTAGGGATACCCCGAGAGAGGATTCCTCTCCCCCAGACTCCAGGCACCTCTCCCCAGACTGTATGCTAAGGGCCATGTACGCACACATAGCTTAACTGGCGTGGCAGCCTCTATTGCTGAAATCAATAGCAAAGACTAAGGCAAAAAAAAAAAAAAAAAAAAACACACCCCCCCCCCCCCCCCACCCTTTTTTTTTTTTCCAAAAAGGGGCCCACCCCCCCCCCCCCTTTTTTAAAACCCCCGGTTTTTCCCCCACTTTTTATAAAGTTATTTTCGGAAAGTCTAGGGTCTTCCTGTGTCATGCTTGCATTGTTTATCACAGAACTGGCTGTATACATAATCATCTTTCATCTTCTCCTATGGCATTTTGTTCTTGTTTTTGGGTGGATACCTTTGTACTTTAGGGTTGTTAATCTGCACTTTTTGGCCATGAGGACAAGATAATACTGGCGTCTTTGTTTCTTCACTCCCTCTTTGGTGATTATGCCCATCTGCTGCTGGCATCTCTTCTTATTTACTCACACACTTGCATCCTCACTCACACAAAGAAAGGCTAAACAATGTTCTAACGAGCAATTAAAGGGAACAGCAAAGGGAACAGTTAAACAATCTTTTAACAAGCAGACAAGACTTGTAACAATACAAAATGATTTTAAAGCAAAACAATTTCATATTACAATTTTAGCTTATAAAACAAGACAACTACTGACAACAAACTGGAATAATTTAATTGATTAAGACAAGTCTAACATTTGCTAACATAATGTTTTTTCTCACACTTCAGCACCTCTGAAAAATCAGACTACTTTTATGCAAATGCCTAGGTATGACTTTTGGTGCTGAACTCAAGTTTTAAAATGTTGGCCTAATTTAGGAAGGAAAGGGGGAAAAATGGGAAGGAAAGGAATAGGAAAGTATCCCGGACAGCCTCTGACAACATTGCAAAATCAGGGGGTTTCAGACGAGGTCACCTGTAGTGTGTCATACGTCTGCTAAAAGTAGCTTTGTGTATGTTTTGTGGAAAATCAGAGGATGTTATAAACTGTGAGTCATGTCACTGTTGACTTTACAGAGCACCCAAGTGATATATATACTGCGACACTGAAGAGACATGCACAGAAAAGCTAGAGACTGAGAGGTTTTGTTAAACTAGTGGTAGGATAAAGAAGTGACGTTGAAAATGAAGAATCTTGCATTCCAGATCTTACTCTGTGTAGCATTTTCTTATGCTTTTCCAGTAGTTCCAGAAATGGAGAAGAAAAATGAAGAAGACATGCAATTTGCTGAGGTAATGGTTGTAGACAGTATATATGATTAAAGCTGATAGGAAGAATTAGTCTTTTATTATATTAAGATCACAGGAATAATTATATAACTATTAAGATTATTCTATACATTCTAAAAGAAACATGAATGTCATAAAATGTGGGTGTTTTTTCCCATCAGAAATATCTGGAAAAGTACTATAAACTTAAAACAGAGGCGGACCCTATCTTTAAAATGAAGAACAGAAAAACCATAAGTGACAAAATCCAAGAAATGCAGGCATTCTTTGGGCTGAAAGTGACTGGGGAACTGGATTCCAATACTCTGGAGGTGATGAAGCAGCCCAGGTGTGGAATACCTGATGTCGGTCAGTTCAGCACCTTTCCACGGTCTCCTAGATGGACAAAAACAGATCTGAAATATAGGTAATATTTCAGTGTGTTTCCTTGAGTGCCACTGGGAATTACAGAAGGAATTAGTTTTCTATGTTTATTATTATTTATTCTTATCATTATGGTAGCACCTAGGAGCCTGAATCAGGATCACAGCCCTATTGTAGTAGGTACTAAACAAACACAGAGATAGACATATGTTGTGTATCAAGGAGCATATTGCCTAAAAAGACAAGAGATACAAATAGTAATATACAGACAACAAGGAAGCAAAATGTTTAACTTGAAGTACATGTCTTGTCAGTTGCATTTTTAATTGCCTATCTTTATTTCCTTATTATGTATTTAAAGGATTTTGAACTATACACCAGACATGGCACCCGCTGATGTAGATGAAGCGATTGAGAAGGCTTGGAACGTCTGGAGCAGCGTGACCCCACTGAAATTCACCAGAGTTTACGAAGGCGACGCAGATATAATGATCTCCTTTGTGGCTGGATGTAAGAGAATCCCCATGTGTCCATGATAAATATTGACACATTTACTTACAGTCCCAATTGAGAAGAATCATACTTTTTATGTATCCTTTTCTAGTTCATGGTGACTTCTATTCCTTTGATGGAGTGGGTGGAACTCTCGCTCATGCCTATGCACCTGGCGAAGGTATTGGTGGAGATGCCCACTTTGATGAGGATGAATACTGGACAAAAGATTTGAAAGGTAGGAATCCCTTACTATTTCACTAGCATTCTCCACTGTGCAGTATTTGATTTTAAGAGCTATTTGCTCATTTTTACACTGGAAAGAGATGGGGGCGCAAAAGTAATGCAGCTTAGCAATAACTACATATACAGGGTGGGAACCTGCTGTACTTCTCAGCGGAGTTCTCCTTGAAATCAGTGGTTCAGATTCTGGTCTCAATGACACCCATGACAATCCATAGTAATGCCACTGAAGTCAATGCACTGACTACAACTGTGGCTCCCGTGGAGTGACTGGAATTACCCTGGAGGTGGACTGGTTTGACTGAGTTAGACAATAGGCATTACTGAGTTAGACAATATGGCATGAAACTGTGCCCTCAGGGTGAGGCTCTTAGCAGTTGTAAAATACTGAACTCACCACTTTTTAAATAAAAAAAAGTATTAAAGTGATGATAACTTTTAACGACCTTGTGCAGGGAAAACGATGTGTGTTCAGTGGATGAGTGTATTTGTGGTGCATGTTGAGTGCTTCTGTCTAATGTGCTTTATCGTGGGATATATTGTGAGATCACAAGCTATAGGATTCAATGCAGGAATTACGGAGTGAAATTCCATGGCCTGTGTTATTCAGAAAGTCAGTCGAGACAATCATAATAGCCTCTTCTGGCATCTGAACTCATCAATATTAACAAAACCTTGATTATATGTAAGGAGGGATATTTCTGCAGTATGAACAGATGCTTTCATGGTGGCTGGCCTCAGATTTGTTTCCTTGAAGGAAAAAAAAAGTAATAACCAGGCCTACATAGTCCAAAACGAATTCTTTTCACAATCTTTTTTTAACTTTTCCTCACAGGTCATGTTTTGTAAACCTGTTATCATTTTGGTTTCTCTGCTCTGGATGCTTTCTGATTTGTCCACATCTTTCTTAAACTGTGGCACCCAAAACTGGACACAGTACTCCAGCTGATGCCTCACAAGAAGCACAATTCCCTCTTGTGTCTTACATATGACCAGTGGTGAGCTGGAGCCGGTTCCCACCGGTTCGCTAGAACCGGTTGTTAAATTTAGAAGTCCTTTCAGAACCGGTTGTTCCGCGAGGGACAATTTAACAGGCCAAATTAAAAAAACTAAACAGGCCAAACTAAATTTAACAGGCCAAAAGTGGTGCCTTAGGTGCTGACTCCATGGTGCTCCAGCCCTGGAGCACCCAAGGGGAAAATTTGGTGGGTGCAGAGCACCCCAGCCCCAGCCCCAGCCCCAGCTCCAGCTCCAGCTCCACTCTGCTCCGCCTCTGCCACTGAACACGCCGCCCCGCTCTGCTTCTCTGCCATCTCCCCCCCCCCCGCTTCCCCCTGTTCGCGCGGGAAGCCGGGGCAGGCTGAGAAGTAGGCCGCGGCTTCCCGCTCAGGCCCAGGGACACGGAGGTGAGCTGGGGCGGGGGCACGAGAAGGGCTGCCCATGCCACAGCAGGTAAATGGGAGGGGGCACAGGGGAAGCGCTCCCCACCCCAGCTCACCTCCGCCACCCTCGGCCTGAGTGGGAAGCCGCCGCCTGCTTCTCAGCTCTCCCCAGCTTCCCCCCAGAACAGCTGATTCGCGGGAAACCGGGGGTGGGGGTGTGGAGAAGCAGAGCGGGGCAGCACGTTCAGGGGAGGAGGCAGAGTGGAGGTGAGGTGAGCTGGGGCGGGGAGCTGCCGGTGGGTTCTCTGCACCCACCAAATTTTCCCCGTGCGTGCTCCAGGACCTGGGTCCTAGGACTCTGCTGTGTGTGGCGGAGGGGAGGAGGCGGGAGGAGACGGGGTGGTGGTGGTTCAGAGCCTGAGTCCCACTGTGACCTGGATCCAAGCCCTGACATTTTGCAGTGTGAACACAGCTCAAGCTGCAGACCAGAGTCAGAAGGTGTGTGTAGTGCCATATGGATGCGCTAATATGGCTATGAGACCTGGGTTTACAATGCAGAATGGATGCTTAAGTATGGGCTTGGAGACATTGCATTCTCAGTCCCAGGTCCCACAGAGCCAAATTTACAGTGCAGTGTAGACATGCCCTTTGTTTCCCTTTTTTAAAGATAGCTACCATGTTTGCCCTTCTCCACTCCTCTGGGACCTCACCTGTCCTTTCCTGTTGTTTTACGGGGACATGTATTTAATTTACATGCATGCTATGCTTTTTATATTTTTAGGATTCAACTTGTTCCTTGTTGCTGCTCATGAGTTTGGCCACTCACTGGGTCTTGGTCATTCAAATGTCCTCGGCTCCTTGATGTATCCAGCCTATCTGCAGACAGAGACCAGAAACTACAGGCTCCCTCAGGATGATGTTGATGGCATTCAGACCCTATATGGTAAGGAGGAAACATCACTTTTTTTTAAAGTTTCTCTCCTACAGGTTACAAACAATTTGATGAGAATTTGTAATCAAGATCAACTGTGGCCGACTTGTGTGGGGTGTGAAGGGGGTAAGGAGCCTCACCCTTAGAGCAGTGTACAGGGGCTGGCTGTAATTGCAGTCCTTGCTCTTACCTTTACACAGGGACTGTGTTCCCTCTTCTGTCCGTTTGGGTGCTAATCATAGCCAAAGGAATGAGAAGCAGGTAAGGCCATGGCTCACTCTATCTCCATCTGCACGAGCCAGCTCAACTGGCTACCTGTGACGAGGAGTACATAGTGTTGCCCCTTCTTCATGCATATTAGGCACCCCCCTCCCTGTAGAGGTGAGTGCTTCCTGGGCATCACTAATCCGAAAGGTTTAAATATGTTTCTGTATGAAACTTTGTGATGGTCTTGTGCCAGCTCCTGAGCAGATGTGAATTGGCACAGCTCCATTAATGTCAAGGAGGAGTTCAGAGAGGCATTGGTGAGGGCACTAAGCTAGGACTCCAGAAACCCGGCTTCAATTTCTTGCTTTGCCATAGAGCGTCTGTGTCACTTATCCTCTCAGTTCCTTCATCTGTAAAAAGGGGATAATAGCATTGTCCTACCCCACAGGGGTGTTGTGAGGATAAATACATTAAAGACTGTGAAGAGCTCAGATAATATGGCTGTGGTGGCCATATATATAATTACCTTGATAGAATGGGAAAACACTGTTTCAAACCCACTGAGAATTTGGCCCAGTAATGCTGTTCTCCAAGCTCTATAACAGCAATACTAACTGACCTTCCAATTCTGCTTTTAACCTCTTCCCTAAGGACCCCCAACCTCTACCGAGCCACCAGCTTCCATACCATCCACAGAAACACCAACAGAAACATCAGCAACAGACAGCTGTGACCCTCACATGACTTTTGATGCCATCACCACTCTCCGTGGGGAAATAATATTCTTTAAAGACAGGTAAATTATTTCTGTTTTGTCAACATCAAGTTTTGCTTAGATTACACTTGTAATGGCAATGCTTTGACAATTAGTTCAAGAAGGGGGTTTCCTTCCAAATGTATAGTCAACACAACCTCACAAATTTCTACTTGCCCATGCGACCTGGGCGAAGTAACTGGGCTTTTTGAGGGTGAGTAAATAATAATATTTTAAATCATCCTTAGTCATCCTGTGCACGGTCTGTTACATTTCCATGGCAATTGTGCAATCAGAGCAATCAGAGCACTTTGGCCTGCAGCCATATCACATGAAGCATTGTTCTTGACAGACTGGTGTCAGGCTATGGATGGCAGATCGAAAGGGAAAACTATGGGGCTATAGAAAGTGTTGTTGGTGATTCAGTAGGTGGCATTCCTAGCCTCCAGAGAGCATTGAACCCAGGCCCCAGCTGCAGTGCTTGGCGACATTCTACTGTTAGAAGTGCCATCTTTTCGATAAAAAGAATAGGAGGACTTGTGGCACCTTAGAGCAAATTTATTAGAGCAGCAGCTTTCGTGAGCTACAGCTCACTTCATCGGATGAGCTGTAGCTCACGAAAGCTTATGCTCTAATAAACTTGTTAGTTGCTAAGGTGCCACAAGTCCTTCTGTTCTTTTTGCGGATACAGACTAACATGGCTGCTACTCTGAAACCCATCTTTTCAATGACATCTGATACTTAACTCTTTAATGGGTCATTTAAAGATCCCAATGCACTTCTTGGAAGATGGAATAAAAGCGGCATCCCCAGGGTTTTGAGCAAATACCAACGCAGGGAATGACATTCTGCCTACATAAATGCCCCCTGAAGGTTCAACTGAAGAAATTACTCTTAAATTTCCCTCCTAAAAAGTGCAGTTTAGTGTTGCTGTGCACTACCAAAGAGCTGACACATTGCACCGAAGAGATGGCTGCATTTACATGGTGGGCAAAAGGATTCCTCCTGACCCAGCTCTTCCCTGTGCCTTACTGGAGACCAAAGGAATGGGAGGGAAAGGGGGAGGTAAAAGGGCCGGGTGGAAGAACCCCAGTGCAAATAAATGGGACAGGATTTCTCTGTAGCACTGAAGAGGGCACTACCAAACGGGCATTGCATCTCCAAGTGGACCTGATCTGTGGGTTGGGGGCATGTCCCACCACCAGCAGCTAGTGAACAAATGTACAGCTCATGTAGTAGGAATTTTTATTAAATTTCCCTGTTGATGATCTCATGAATTAATGGTAACATATAATTATATAAACAAGCAACTTGTCTTTTCAATCAGGTACATCTGGCGCAAGAGTCCTTATTTCCCAGGTATTGAGCAGGATTTAATTTCTTCCTTCTGGCCAACTCTACCATCTGGCTTTCAAGCCGCTTATGAAATTGACAAGAAGGATCAAGTGTTTCTTTTTAAAGGTATTTCTATTGAATTTCTAGATATTCTTCTTACATGTGGAAATGAAGAAGCAATTATTATTAATAATAAAACACCACCACCTAGCACTGACATAACTTTTCACCTTCAAAGTGCTGTTTCACAGTCATTAACTAAATAAACCTCACAACAGTCCTGTGACAAAGTATGCCTATTTCATAATCAGGAAAACTGAGAGTGAAGTTAACTGATGTGCTTAAGGTAGAGGAGAGGATCAGTTATATATTTGAGCTAAAGTGTTTAAAATGGAGTGCTTACATTTAGTCAACTAAATTCATATTTAGGCACCTAACTAAGTGGCCTGATTTTCAGAGGTGCTGAACAATCCCAGCTCCCATGGAGGGAAAATGTTTTTTTTTAACTACTGTAATGAATTTATAAAGCAAAAGATCCAAATGTCCTGAAACATTAAACATTCCAGCTGCCTTGCAGGAAAGGAATGTCTTCAAATTCAATGCTATCTAATGGAATTCACCCCGCAGGGAACATAAAAGTTTCCTTTAAAGTTTCAATTAAATACTGCTTAATCTCATCAGAAGTCCCTATCAAGCTTTTCTATCTTGTTTTTCTTGACAGGCAACCAATACTGGGTTGTCAAAGGAGAGTTTGTACAGCCAGGTTTTCCTAGGAACATCCATGCCCTGGGCTTTCCAAGATACGTTAAGAAAATTGATGCCGCTGTTTTTGATGGGAATACCAAAAAAACGTACTTCTTTGTAGGTGACAAGTATTGGAGGTAAGATTAAATTCTCCCAGCAAATAATCCATGCAGCTTCTTTAAAGCCTTATTAACCCTTTACATTTGGAATTAGGACAAATGTGTGGCTCCCTTGAGTAGGATTTCATGACTCATCTATTGCACACCCTATTGTAAGCTGAATGTCAATGACAACAGAGGTAGAACTCAGCTCTTCCTTTTCCTTTCCTCTTCCTTAAAACACTCGAGTTACAGAAAATTTTCCATTCGTTGCTAGTACAGTAAAAGCTTTTTTATCCGGCATGTCGGGGGAATGGGGGGTGTGGTAAGTGAAAAATTCCAGTTAACTAAGAGGAAAGGAGTTTGCGTGTGGGAGAGGGTGAGGGGCTGGGACACGGGAGGGGGTGCGGGGTGCCGGATCCGGAGGGCACTCACCTCAGACGTCTCCTCACAAGCAGCAACCTGTCCCTGCTGTTCCTATGTGGAGGTGTAGCTAGGCAGCTCCGTGCTCTGCCCCTGCCCTACCCCAAGTGCCTGCTCCACAGCTGCCATTGGCCAGAAACCTTGGCCAATGGGAGCTGCGGGGGTGGCACCTGAGGGAGGAGGCAGCACACTTGTTTCTTGTCATTTTTGTTTTCTCTTTCTTGTGACCAATGCTCTACGCAAAGTTCCATCCCAGCACCTTTATTAGCAGACGCTGAGCCCTGGTGTCATTGCAAAGAACAGTTAATAGGAGAGCATCATAAACCCAGCAGTAAAAATCTCAACTACCCTTCCAGTCTCTGTTCTTAGTCCAAGTCTAAGGTACCCCCCTCCTTTTGAGCATTGGCTGATTCTTGTGTGTGATGCAGGCCTGTAGGGACCTCATGTTTTGGCTGCTCCTTGTGCCCATCACCCAGCCCTGGCTCTATTCTCTATTTGTGCCTCTGGTGTCCCTGCAGCTCATGACTACCGTGAGCTGTCTCCCCCCGGTGGTATGCCCCACCTCCAGTGGTAGGAGAGCTGGTAGCATAACCCACACACCTCCTGGGTGTGGTGCTCTGTCCCATTGAGTGGCACCGAACCTCGCAGAGAGAGATTAATGAGTTTGCTCTACAGCCTTAGCTAACGGCCATATGGCTTTTAGCTCCAGAGGTCCCAGGTTCAATCCCACCCACTGACGACCAGGGTCTGTTGGTATTACAGGGTGGGGCTCATCTGGGATTTCAGCTGGGAAGTCTCTGAAGCTCAGGATGCGCTTCCTCAGCTAGGAGAAGTATGTAACCCACACACCTCCTGGGTGCATCCAGTGGCACTGAGACCACCTAGAGAGAGATTAATGAGTTTGCTCTACAGCCTTAGCTAATGGCCACGTGGCTTTTAGCTCATGCAGTAGAGGCTAATGCATTTAGCTCCAGAGGTCTCAGGTTTGATCCCTATGACCAGGGCCTGTCGGTGTTACAGTAGCAGGTGGGATTTCCTATCAGCTCTATAGCCACCAGTAGCTGTGTGAGGGTGGAAAGACCAGCTCCTCCTCTTGTTTCAACCCCTACCCGATCAGGGCTGGGGCAAGGCTGGCCTTTACAGCACTGCTGCTGTCCCGTGCAGTGGGGAACTGCACTCAAGCAGTTTCTAAAATTAAATTAAGAAAATAGTTCTACAAATAGACGGGTTTTGTAACCACTCCCCCCCCCAAAGCACCCCTACTTCTTCTTGGGTGAAGAAGTTATCACATAACTAAGGGCTCACTTGCAAAGTCTTATGCATATGCTTAGCTTCACTCAGGTGACTAGTCCCATTGACAACTCATAAGCACAAAGCAAGTCATGTACAGAAATGTCTTTGCAGGATGAGGGCCCAGATGTCAAGGTTGCACACTTGGGCCCCACACCACTCCTCCTACAGCAATCAAGTAGGAAAAACAAACTTTTTAGTCAGACTAGCTGAGGACGACTGTGCATCGATTAGTCAAGGTGAAAGTATTCATATAGTATGGATTTAAACAATTCAATGAGTTACAGTAGCTCATGGTTAGTGAGTTTTAGCTAAGGGCAGGACTTACTTGTTGTAAAGGTCAGTTGGACTCAATATTAAATATCACATGTTCATGTATTATTTTCATTTCCTTTCTTCACTCAGTTATGATGAAGTCACTGAATCCATGGAAAAGGGTTATCCAAGACGCATATCAGTTGACTTTCCAAGAATTGGCAATAAGGTCGATGCTGCTTTTCAGGAAAAAGGTAAATAAAAAAAATACTTTGATAGTTGAATATATTGGAAAATTTGCATTTCCATAGACTCAAGAATCATTACAGAAATTAGTAAGGGTGTTTCTTTAGGTGTACACATTTTAATTTGCAGCAGTGTTTGTGGAAAGAGAATGAATATACATTTGTACAAAGTAATTATTCATTTTGTTTCTATTTCTAGGACATTTCTATTTTTTCCATGGATCAAAGCAGTATGAAATAGACACCAAGTCCAAGAAAGTTATTCGTGAAATGAAGAGCAATAGTTGGTTTGGTTGCAAATAAGAGCAGACACACAAGGTGACGGTGCAAAAGAAACAGAACCCAATTTTGTATGCATTACAGATGGCGTTTCATAGATTTTTTGTTTTTAATCAGTGTTATTCATCTTTTACTTTATGTCTGAGTCACATAAGAGCTGCAATCCCGGATAAATATTAGTTTAAATAACAGAAAAATGTTAAATATAATATATATAGTTTTAACTTATCTTCATATTGTATTTAGGCTATTTATTAATCTATTTGTCACTGAGCAATAAAGCTATTTTATGTTTGTGTATATAACAGTCTTTGTTTCTTTTGGTCCAGACTCATGGTCTTTCTGGTCAGCAGTACGAGTGAAGGGGCCATTTAATTTAATTGCACTGCAGTCTGAACTCCCAGCTCAGCCTTTCAGACAATATGATGACTTTAAGAGACTCCATTCGCTGTAGAGGAGAGGCAGAGCAGGAGGCAGAAGTAAATGGGCAGCTCCAGGGTAGAAGCAAGGGGAAATGATCTTAAGGGAAGGGGATAGATATTAGAAGAAGAAGAAGATAGAAAGCACAGCACTAGACGTTCACTCCCTGCTTCATAAGAGTTGATAGTTCTAAGATACCTATAAGCCATCTAAGACATTGTCATGCATTATGCTGGACACTGACCATGTGGAAGTTCACTGCGCTCTGGTGATAGCACACAAGTATGTTTACTCCTAAAGCACATCTCGACTACATGAGCTATTTTGTACAGGGCCTATGACAAGCAGTTGAGTAGTCCTGATTCCATCCAGTAGAGGGCAGTCACACCCATGTTCCCTTCCAGTCCTATGATTCTATGATTCAATTGTTGGTGACTGGAACTGGATATAGCTATGTCAGCACCAGGTGGAAATTGTTCATAGATAGAGCACTGAGCCCTTACCCAAATCAGGTCCCTTTATGGTGTCTTAAATTGAGCACCCAAAATCCGAGGCACCCACAATCACCAATCACATTTGAAAATCTCAGCTATGGCGTGTGAGCCCAACCCTGCTCTCACTGATGCCAAAAGTTATGTGCAAACCTAATGACTGCATTCAGAGTAGTATCAGGCCCTGAATAAACACACACTGTGAGAATGTAACTCATTGCTTATTACTGTCACAAATGCGTGTACACAGTCGAGATTTTCCATCAACAATCAGATCATTGTTCAGTATAGTCCAGTATGCAGCAGTGGCCAGTGTGTTGCTTCATAGGAAAGAGAAACACAAGTTATAATGCTCCTAGCAGGCAATTTCCAGAGGAGGTGCAGTGTGGACCTCCCTGCTGGAGAAAAGAATGCTCTCGCATGGCCTGAATAGGAGATGAATGTTCAGAGGATTTGGAAATTCAGCTCCATCATTGCCCTGCCTGGCAGTGTTTAGTCCCCTCTCTAGATAGACACACATGCATGGAGATTTTCAAATGAATTGAGTCTGACCTGGAAGTGATTCCTGCACAAAGGGATGTTAGTGGATCCAGCATCCTTATTGTCGAAGAGGAAATTATGGTAGATTAGGCTTCTGGGAGGAACACACACCCTAGGCTGGAAAGGAAGGGAGACCCACCAGGAGCCACACAGAAGGCACAACTAAGACAGCAAGCCCTGCCATTAAACAAAGACTATCTGATTCATATGAGTTGTCATTATGCAGCTGTCAGAAAAGGGGTACAAGCCTCTCCCCCTGCGGCTGGCATCCTCAGCAACATCATACATACCTATGGCTCCATATTTATACACACTAGCCTCAGGGGTCAAATTTTGAGATTTCTACTCAGCATTGTGCCCACAGGAGGATGATGTCTTCTTCTGGTGTTCCTACTAGGGGCTCTGGCCAAGGGAATGCTGCCTGTGGGGTTATCAACCCTGGCATAGCAAGGGCCAGACAATGGTATGAGACTTTCCTGAGAGAGAGGCTCTGAGAAAGGAGGGTATAGCAATCAGCAAGTCAAATCTCTGTGGAAGAACAAGAGATTCTCATTACGGAGATCATTTCTAGGTTCGATCTCTTCATGGGCAAGGCTTCAAAAAACACCTCTGCGGCTATGAAAGTTTCTACATGGGATGATATACTAAGAAAAGTGAATGATTTTAGTGGGTAATCGACAGCACCAAGAAATGGGGAGAAGGAACAGAATAAGATGGCAAAAGTTAGCAACAGGGCATACTTGACAATGTTGCTGAGTCCTGCCAATCGAAGAACCACAACAACCTCACTAAAACCTTCCCAGTGCCCCTGTGGATGAGCACTCAAATACAAACAATGATGAGTGTGGAAAATTTAGGCCCCATGACCAAGTGTCTGCTTCCTCCTGAATCTCCGTCCTGTGTCCTGTTTCAACAAGACCAACCAACCATCCAGGGGGGAGAAAGCAGATACTTGAGACTTCATCATGACATCTATCTCCTGGGGCTCCTTTCTGCTGGTTTCCATTGATGTGTCCCAAAGGGAAATAATTCAGCAAATGTCTCTGTAATGTATGTACCTCTCCTTTCAGAAATCTCTGCTATTGCCATCCCTCACTATATTTTGAATGGAGGTCCCTCTGCCTGCTTCCTGTGGCAGCCTGTGCCCCTTGTGATGGAGAATGAAAGAAAAGATAATTCTCCACTCTGAGGTGGAGATGATGGTGTTAAACCATTAGTGAAGAATTTGAACTTATGAATTTTGGGGGGACTTTCTAAGGCCTCATGCCCAATATCCAGGATGCTGCTGCTGATTGGTGCATGCGCCATATGAAGCAGAGAGAAAGTTTCCTGACCAATAGTGGGGAACATATTATCCAAAGCATAAGAGCTAGGCCCGGATTCTGGGCTCTGTGGTGGCTCAGTACTTGGGCTTTGCTGGTACACCAGGGCCACAAAGGAGGCAGAACTGGCCACTTGGGCATCACCCCTGGCATAAGGGAGATTCTGGTAAAATAGAGCCAGCAGGACATTCCCATATCACTCCCCTAACAGCCCCCAGTGTAAGGGAGCACCAGGGGTGTGGTGGTGGATTATGGGGGGACATGTTGAAGGAGAGATATAGTCAGAGCACAGTACATTCCTGCTATTCTGTACAATGTTCAGCATAGTGTAAGATAGACCAGCTCCTAAGGACTGTTCTAGCTTTTATTGTTCTCTTCCTTCGCTGTCTCCAGAATTAAGATTGTGGTGCAACAGTCCTTTACCCCATCCCCTATTCCTGCATTCAGTTTAGCTTAACCAGGCCTGAGAATCAAGTTTTAATTGCTGCGTAGGATTGTTGCTTGGTAGTACAGGTAGGATCAATGGGCGGAGAGAGGCATGGGTGGTTCCAATAGAGCTAAGAACCTTATTAAAGATAACCTGGAAGTGATGCAAATAGTCAGCACTGATTTTTCAGTGTCTTACCGCACAAGGACTATTCCAATGGGTAAGGTGAGCAGATTATGGCACTATAGTAACAATGAGATTTCTCCCAAAATCCATGTGACTGTGGAAGACACTTGTTTCAGTTGTCTACAAAAATAACCTGGAACAGATTTTTTTTCTCCCTTTTCCCCCTATGACTAGAGAGGTGTTAACAGGCCACTTTACCTTGAATGGTCCCTTCAAATATGTGTTAACTACTTACATTAAATAATTTGTTCCACCTTGTATTTAGCTGTTACACTCTGAGGCATTGGCTTCACTTGCAAGTTAGAGCACATTAAATCAGCCCTGGACGCCCTAACTCCTGAGGTGTCCACACTGGCAAGGCACTTAGAGCGCCTGGACTCTGCAGCTGGAGCGATCCTGGTAATCCACCTCCACGAGAGGCATAACGCTTGCTGCGCCCCGGCTGAAACACCTGGGTGACAGTGTGGACGACGTGTTGCATTACTGCAAGTGGCCACTCTTGTCATTGTTTTGAACTCGGCTGCAGGTATGCGGATATCCCCTTCCAAAGCTCCTTTTCTGACAGCCAGCTGCTTAGTTGCTCCGGGACAAAGGAAACCATTACTGTGGAATGCTGCTGCTGCCGAGGCAGGCTTGTGTGCGGAGGGCAGGGGGGCTCATGTCAGAGTTTCCCCCTGCTGCTGTCTGAACTTACAAGATAGCATGCTGACACACTCTCTGCTCCCCAAAACACACTGTCTCTCCCCCACATACACACAACACACTCCCTGTCACACTCCGCCCCCCTTTTGAAAAACACGCTGCAGCCACTTGCACACTGGGATAGCTACCACAATGCACTGCTCTCTGTGGTGTGCAAGAGCTGCTAATGTGGCCATGCCAGTGAGCTTCAAGCTGACAGTGTAAACACACGGCAGCGCTTCCCCTGCTGCTGTCTCTGAGGGCTGGTTTAATTCCCGGCGCTCTACATCTGCAAGTGTAGCCATACCCTGAGTACATTTCCCAGACCTGAAGAAGAGCTCTGTGTAAACTTAAAAGCTTGCGTCTCTTACCAACAGAAGTTGACTCAAAAAACGATATTACCTCATCCATCTTGTCTCTCTAGACAACTCTAAGGCATTTGACTTGGTATCACATGACATTTTGATTAACAAAGTAGAATGATAAAATTAACATGGCATGGATTAAAAGCTTGATAAATCTCAAAATGTAATTGTAAATGGGGAATTATCACTGAGCAGGTGTGTTGCTAGTGAGGTCTTTCAGTGATCAGTTCTTGCTCCTGTGCTATTTAACTGTTTTTATCAATAAGGGGGGGGGGGGTTTTCCCCCCCCCCCCACCCCTCTTTTTTTTCCCCCCCCCCCATGCCCCCCCAAGAATTGAACCCAACCCTGGGTTTGGCAATCAAACCACTGACCTGGAAGAAAACATAGAACCATCCCTGATTAAGTTTGCAGATGACACCAATATTGGGAGAGTGGTAAATTATCAAGGGAACAAGTCACTGATTCAGAGTGATCTGGCTCGCTTGGTAAGCAGGGAGGAAGCAAACAATATGTGTTTTAATATGGCTAAATGTAAAGCTATACATGTTGGAACAAAGAATGTAGTCTATATTCCAAGGACTTTATCCGAGAAAACAGTGACTTTAAAAAAGATTTGGGGAAATGAACACGAGCTCCCAGTGGGACGTTTTGGCCAAAAGGACTAATGCGATCCTTGGATGCAAAACCACTGTGATCATCTAGTTTGACCTCCTGCATAACACAGGCCATAACATTTTACCCAGTTTATGCTGCAGTGGAGGGAATTATGTTTGCTACTACATAACTGAGCACTATTAGGCACAATAACTTGTGGCTGAAGTAGGCCA